CTCGCTGTGTCTCCGTCTCTGCTCACTAGAGCGTGCTCGCCGCCTCGTACACCTCCTGCACTTTTAATGAATAAAAACACTCCCACATCGTGCTGTCAGGACACATTGTGTGTGTGTGTGTGTGAGACAGTGGAGCGACCTGGCTTAGAGGCTCCGCCCTCTCAGGCCAGTTGCCCTCCACCACATTTTTGGGGAACGTTGTTCCTGCAGCAGGAGGATCAGGACGAGCTGCAGAAATACTGGGGCGTGCGCTCAGTGTGGAGGAGGACAAACAGCAGCTGAATTCAGGCAGTAAACTGTAAAATGAGGTCTTCTGTGCCCCCCGCCCCCCCTCGGAGGAATGTGAAGTCGCCTCAGGCTGCAGGTTTCTCTGCTCTGCTGCTTTCATGCTTTCTCCACCTTTATCTCCACCTCTGATCTCTGTGAACTTCAGTCTGAGCCTAACAGCCATCACTCCTGACTTCTGCAAACTCAACGTGAGCTCATTTTTATTTTTCCCCCCCAAACTCGATAATCTCGCGGTAAGATGGCGGGCGAGCCTGCTCTGATTGGACGACACGGGTCAGTCACTGTGAGGAATGCAGGGACAGGTGGGAGAGAGGGCAGCGAGTGTGCAGGTTATCACCCGCAGAGCTGCTGTAATGGTTAACCTGCTGATGCTGTGCATGAGCCTTTGCACACACACGCACGCACGCACACACGCACACACACACGCGCGCACACACACACACACACAACTCTCTGCTTCCTTAAATCAGAGGAAGGGCGAAACAGAGCCAACGAAGCAGAGCGTGAAATAACGAGCTGGCAGCAGCTTTGTGCACGCCGCCGACCTCCTCTGCTCTTCAGCGAGGAAGAAGAGCCAGGTTACAGACAGACGTCAGCTCAGCTACTTCATTTCTGTACTTCAGGTTTTATGGACACCCAGGTTCAGAATTCTGCTTTTGTGTTTCCATGAGAACTTCACACGTCACACATCTGAAAATAAAACAACTGGAAATATGAAGTCCTGGATGAATCACCTCGGTTCCTTAAGGTGCTTTCTACTGTAAGGTAAAGACCCTGGAGGCAGACCCCAACCATCAGACAACCCCTTCTGAGGAGGGCCGAGTACAATAACCTCAGTTTGATCTGAAT